TTATATTTATTTTACATGCTTAATTTATGATATATCAGTTTGAATTTTATTAATGATGTAAATTAGATTTTGATAAATGTTTTGCTCATAATAGGACCTTTTTAAATTTACTAACCACCCCCCCCCCCCCGACACCACAATCACACAGCACATACTTTTTTGGAATAGGCTATAGATTGAAAAGTTTTGTTAAAACATAGTTTGTTATGTATCAATTTGTTCTTGTACTATACATGTTAACATGTAAATTTCTACATCACATCAGGTTGCGTCACCCATTATCATATTTTTAGATTAAGCACCATTCGACACACCTCGGTCGATTCCCACTTCATCTGATAAGGTGATGGAATCGAAGAAGGTTTGCCGAATGGAATTAGCACATGCTGCAGTCTGGCGTGCATTGGATTAATTCATTTTGTGTTTATATTGGATTATATTTCATGAAGTTGACAAGACCTATGACAGTCGGTAAGTACAAGTTTAAGTATAGTGGGGATAAAATAAACCCAAACGATGAGGTTAAAGTTCAAAAAGGGTCAAAGATCATCGCATGCCACACTAGACAAATTTCATATTGTGAAGTTATCTCCCGTTGTCGATGTGACATTCAGTTACTGCCAATACTGGTGCGGATCCAGAATTTTTTTTTCGGGAGTAGGGAGGGGGTTTCACATCTCAGTCCAAAAATTTTAATCTCTGTTGAGATTCTGCTGGGCTAGATATTTGAACAGACCCCGTCGCAGAATCTCTGGACGACCATTAATAATTCGCGTCTGGAAATAAGGCCCCAACTTCGACCGACTGTAGCAAGAATTATTCACCTAGACCACACTGCTGTTCGCTTCAGTTAAGTCATTTAGTTGTTTATTTGACTCTCTGTCACTATTATTTCTTCATAGCTTACCGTTTAGGCATGTAAATCCCAACATAAAAATATTCACTGAAATCTCCAATTCGAAATATGGCTCCCATGACGAAATTGTTTACCTCCTCAAATAAAAGAGTTCCTATAGTCTGTTTTTACCCTATGTGATTCTGAACCAAGTCTACTGTGGCTATTGAACATCACATAGGGTAAAAACAGATTATAGGAACTCTTTGATTTGAGGAGGTAAACAATTTCGTCATGGGAGCCATATTTCGAACTGGAGATTCCACATTTTTATGTTGTTTTATCAAAATTTCAAAACCTTATTGCACATCTACATGACACCACCAACCATCTCCCAAAAGATTATTAGGCTACTGTGTAAAATATAGGAGGAGTTCAGGGAAGAAAAGTGTGACAGACGGACAGACGGACGGACGGACATGAGTAACGACAATATACCCGAACTTTCTTTAGAAAGTGCGGGTATCAATATTCTAAATAACATATTTTTTATGGCAATAACAAAAAATGTTTCTTTCTTTTCATTGCAAATGAAATTAGATTAATATTGCTTGTTGGCTTTACAATTTGTATTTATTCTTTCCCATTTCTTGCTTGAAGAATGTGATCCTCACTGTTATGATGACGCTACCTCTAAAAATAGAACGAAAGTAACGATTAACGGAATCGGCCGGGGTTTGCCGAAAGATCTCGTTCAGTCAAAGTTTACGGAGATGACCGAGTGACAACCGTGGTTGGGCTAATAACCTGTAAAGCTAATGTAGAAATAAGAAATCAAGAAATTCAGAAGAATAATACTGTCTGATAGATGTAGATCATTTTACTGTTTAAGGTTGTTGCTATAGACGGTAAGCTTTTAAAAAAAGTTCTACTTGTTATTACTGTAAACAATATGTCATGTGTTCCCAAAATCTAGGGCTTTCTCGACTCCCCCGCAAGAGAGCGGTAGTAAGTTAGATAACTGCGAGGCACTCATTTGTAAGAGAGCGAAGTATATTTTGCATCGGGTTCGAGATTCAGATTGAAATTTATTATAAAGTTTACAAATTATGAGAAGGAAAATTATTTTTATGTTTATATCCTTTTTGAATAACTGAAATAACGTTGATTTGGCTGTAAGTAATTTTTATAATTTATTTTTGGAACTTGTGAATCTGTCCATTGATTGGTCAATTTACCGAATGTACAGTAGGCCATCTTTTGGTATTTTTTTCACAGTAGATGTTGACCAGTGAAGACGTGTGTCAGTTGTGTTATACTAAACGCCTTTTGTCTGATATATGTGAGTAATGATATTTTTGTCTTGCATTCATATTTGATTAGGTACTTATGTCGAAAGTGAATGATTATTCTATATTTTGTGAAATATTGAAGGATATGGAAGTAACGATCAGTATTCAATCTCAAAGTCCATGAAACAATACAAAATTAGAGCGAGCAAACACGGACCCCCGAAACATCAGAGTTTGGATCAGGTGCCATGGAGGAGTGAGCATCCCCTGCCGACCGGTCACACCCACCGTGTGCTCCTTGTCATGATCAGGAAATAACGGCAAAAATCTTTCGTTAATTCAGTGTATAAATAATGGACTAACAATTGGTATGAAAAACGTCAGTCAGCATTTGACTCAATGATAAACTGTATTTTATTGTATCGACCATAGAACTTACGAAATGATGACTTTAAACGAGACTGCTGATATTCTTGTTTCGTCAACTTGCTTGTCAATAATTTACCTCGTTTTAGAAATTGTTCATACGTAGAGCATGCTCTACTGAGATATATATACTCCGTATGCAGGTGATGAAGGTATATTGCTGCATAAGTAAGGGAAGTTGACGAGAGAAAAGTTAAAGTCATCACGTTTATCATATAGCTTGGTTGTTAGATTACCATTAGTCTTTTCAAGTAAAATATCCAAGTATGAAACGGTTCAAAGTGTCGGACTCTGTGGTATCTTTTATCTCAAGCTCACCAGGATATATCGTATCGACGTAGGAATGGAAATTACCATTATTAATTGACAAAACGTTGTCGATATATCTAAATGTCGAGTTGAAGGCCGTGTAATTTTCCGATTGAAAATTGTTTATTACTAGTCAGAAATGATGTCGTGATGTTACCATCTAGTCATTTGTTTATAAGTATGTTTATGGTTAAATTAATAGATGCCCTGATGTTATAAATAATTTTAAAAGATTGTTCAATGCAAAACATTTTCATTATAATAGTGGTTCCTTGTCAAGTAGATGTAGTAGTAAGACCTGATTGTCTTTATAGTGAACAGTCCTTGTGTGATGACGTCAGAGTGACCGGAAGCCATACTGCATTCCTTACTTAGGTTTGTGAACTGTGTACATTTTTTTATTACTAATTATTTATACTGCATATTTATTTCTTGCTAAGATGATGTGCTGTATGATAAAGTGTAATAGAAGTCTGACTGTCATAAATATTACTTCATGAAATGGACATTACTTTTTCCTAATATTGAAATGTCAGGAGATTATATTGTACTTGTTTACATTTATTTTTTTTTATGACTATCACTTTCAATTGTGTATTGTTTATTTTAGGACCACTGTCACCATAACCATTGATAATCAGTTGTCGATAATCAAATCAAGAATAAAAGAATTACAATACAAGAACATCATTATCTTGTGTTACCCATTTTTCATACATATTGTTAGGTCATTATTTACACAATGATTCCCGTTATTACCCGTGCATGATAAGGTGGATATGTGACCTGTCGGCTGTGGATGCTTATTCTTCCATAATATATAGAAAGCGAAGCCCCTCGCTTCGCACTTGAATTTGGTTTGTGAGTAAAAAACCAGAGTTTATACATCGATTAAATTCTGAAAAAAAGTTTAATCCTATAATTACGAGTGGTATTCAAGTCCCTACGTCCATTAAACATTTCAAAAAAGGAGTGGAGCAAACACGGACCTAAAATAAAAATAAGATAACTCTTTTGTCAAGATTTTAAACTATAATCTGTTTCTTCGCAGACCGTTCAAAGTCTATGCCACTCAAAAATTCTTTTCCATTGAATTCAAATGAACGGATAGTGGTCAACTTTTTCCAAGGCCAACTTCCATTTACTTCCAATTTTTTGCATACAATACTAAATTTCCTTCATATCACCATACTGTGGTTAAAAGTGGGTTGGGGGGAACTAACTTTTTAGTGGACATTTTCAATATTAAAGATAATGTTGGGAAAAAAGTGGGGGACAGGCCCCTCCTGCCCCCCCCCCCCCCTGTTGCTGCGTCCCTGCTTTAGAAATTGACATTTACTTTAAAAAGAAAAACAAAATTACAAAAAATCAGCAATTTACATAGACTGATTTTTACCATTTTGCTTTTCCTAATTAAATCCACCTGGCTTGGTATATTTTTCTAAAGTTTATATTACACGCTTAGCGCCAATCTAACATATTCTGAAATTTGTTCTCATCTGTAAGCCTTTACTGAGTGGGTTTTGTCCATATTTGTAATTTTCCAGTTCTAAGGAGAAAAAATCCTAAGAATTATCCACTTTTCGAAACCTGTGACATGATATTTAGTCATAATGACCTTTGACTAAAAAAAACTGATACAAGTATGAAGATATTAAATTCATTTGCTCTTTGAATTTTAAATTATTTATAAAATAGAGAGTAACCAGGTGTATACATTGGATAGAAAATCAGCTGCAAAATTGGTTTATTCATTGGCGTCGGAAGCAAATTGAAAGGGGGGGGCTAAGTGTAAAAAGAAATACCTTTAAAAAAATTTGACAAGAAAAAAGGGGAAATGTCTATTCCCAAACACGAAAATCTATTTCATCGGGGGGGGGGGGGGGGGGTGTAGGTTCGAACTTAGTCCATAGGGAGTTGCTATGCTAAATTTCATTGCAAAAGCTCAAAGGGTTCTTGAGATATCGTGTGGAAACGAAAGCCTTACAGACAGACAGAAAGACGGACGGACGGACGGACAAACCCAAATTAATATCCCCCACTTTTCAAGCGGGGGACATAAGAGATGGATCACAGGTACTTGATTTAAAAGTACACCCTTTTTTGAAATCATCCCAATTCAATTGAGGACTAGGACATTGTTGTTGGATCAAAGAGCCTCTTGAACATATAATATATCCTTCACACGTAAAACATGATTGGTAGTCTCCATCCAATTGATCCACACAACTGGTCTTACATCCTGCAGAAAAGAAAAGGAATGGTAACCTTCGTATTAGAATTGGCAAGGCTTTAATTTATTGCTTAATTGTAATCAATTTTAATTTAGTGTGTAAAAAAGGTTTTAAGGAAAAGGATACTTTTTATTGAGATGACCTTGGTGTTTATGACTTTATAATTATTCACTTACTCATTGTTTGAATTAATCTATAAAAAGTTCTCTTGGTTCCTTCTATCCACACATTAAAAACTACAAATATTACACAATATATAAGTAATACATGAAATAACAATTTACATTAAATTGTATATAATCATATAATTATGATTATAAAATGAAATAACAACTAAAATTAAATTGTTATTTTATGATTTTGATTATAAAATGAAAAACAACTTACATTAAATTCTTATCATATAATTTTTATTATAAAATTATATAATAACTGACATTAAAGCAATATGAGCTGCATTGGTAAAAATTCTATTTTGCTGTTAAAAAGTGTTATAATGATAAATTTGTATGTAGCTTAAACCTTCATGATCAATTAGACTAAAAGAAAGCAGAAGACTTTTTATATACAGTCCAATATACAGTTTTATATATATATATAAAAATATAATTGTACATGACGACAATAATGTAATTTTGATTCAATCGAAGCTTAAAATAGTTTTTCCATCGCAAATATGAACAAAAAAGCTTCTTAACATTATTTTTTCTGTCATTGAAATAGTTATTAGAGAAAACCACACATATATAAATTTCTTAAAGTTTAATGGCGAATAATGGCCATGGCAGCACTACAATTTTCAGGAAATTACATTTAGTTACTGGTTACAATCGTAACCAAGGTTACCGACCCAAATACATTGGGCGATTTTGGCAACCCAAATGGCAAATGGCAAATACATGTAAATGAAAATCATCATGAAATGGGCAAATACATTGGGTGATTTTGACAACCCAAATGGCAAATGGCAAATACATGTAAATGAAAATCATCATGAAGTAGGCAAATATAGAAATGAATATGAAATAGGCAAATATACAAATGAAGCTGTTAAGCAACCTACTGGCAAATAATACATTGCAAATGTTTCATCCAGTCTGACACAAATAAGCAAATTGAAATTTCACACATATTGAAAATAATTATGTACAGTTGTAGCGAGCCCTGGGAACAGATGCTCACTAAATATAACCCTATTTAAGTTCAGCTAAAGATTGCATAGTCTTATTCCATCCGTTATACATACAAATCGGGAATCGTACGAAAATCAGTCACATGTAAGACAACAGTAAGCTCTGAGGCAAGATACTCACTACACATATAAATCACTATTCAAGTCCACCGACAGATTGTGGAAGGCATCTAGAGAATTGTAACTTCATTGGTGCAGGTACAGTAATAGTTGGTTACATCAACAGCCATCGGAGGTTACAGCCATGCAGTGCGCCATGACGAAGTTAGATGTTGAACTACGGGATTACAAGGTTCACATATAAATCACTATTCAAGTCCAACAACAGATTTTGGAACGCATCTAGAGAATTGCAACTTTATTGGTGCTGGTAAGGTAATGGTTACATCAACAGCCATCGGAGGTTACGGCCATGCAGTGCGCCATGACGAAGTTAGGTGTTGAACTACGAGATGTACAAGGCTGAAAATAGAAAAATTCAGGCAGCAGAAAATTGACCCTAAACAGACAATTTATTTTATATTTTCATACATTACATATAGGGTGTTGGTGGGTGGGAATTTTTGAACACAATATAAAATAAATAAACAAATTTTTATCTTGAGATGCAGGATATGTCTGCTCCCCTTCATTCTCTAACGGAAAAGGTAGTCCTAAGGATTCGACTAAAATACCAAAAGTTGAAAGAACGGGGAAACACTAATGACCCGATAACCCCGAATATGGGCCTCTCTAATAACGCGATTTAATTTTCAGCAATTAAATCGAATTATTAGAGAAAACCACACATATATAAATTTCTTAAAGTTTAATGGCGAATAATGGCCATGGCAGCACTACAATTTTCAGGAAATTACATTTAGTTACTGGTTACAATCGTAACCAAGGTTACCGACCCAAATACATTGGGCGATTTTGGCAACCCAAATGGCAAATGGCAAATACATGTAAATGAAAATCATCATGAAATGGGCAAATACATTGGGTGATTTTGACAACCCAAATGGCAAATGGCAAATACATGTAAATGAAAATCATCATGAAGTAGGCAAATATAGAAATGAATATGAAATAGGCAAATATACAAATGAAGCTGTTAAGTACGGCGCCGCTGGAGGGCCAGATAAAAAAAATATTTTTATTTGTTCGGACAAATTAGAAATTCGTTCGGACGAATTAGTTATTTGTTCGGACGAATTAGATATTCGTTCGGACAAATTAGAAATTCGTTCGGACGAATTAGAAATTTGTTCGGACAAATAAGTTATTTGTTCGGACGAATTAGATATTCGTTCGGACAAATTAGAAATTCGTTCGGACGAATTAGAAATTTGTTCGGACAATAAGTTATTTGTTCGGACAAATAAGTTATTTGTTCGGACAAATTAGATATTTGTTCGGACAAATTAGAAATTCGTTCGGACAAATAAGTTATTTGTACGGACGAATTAGAAATTCGTTCGGACGAATTAGTTATTTGTTCGGACGAATTAGATATTCGTTCGGACAAATTAGAAATTCGTTCGGACGAATTAGAAATTTGTTCGGACAAATAAGTTATTTGTTCGGACAAATAAGTTATTTGTTCGGACAAATTAGATATTTGTTCGGACAAATTAGAAATTCGTTCGGACAAATAAGTTATTTGTACGGACGAATTAGAAATTCGTTCGGACGAATTAGTTATTTGTTCGGACAAATTAGAGAAATTGTGAACAACTATCAGGACATCGCGAATAATGTGCGGTTTGCACCAAGACGTTTCATTTTATTTTGATTCTTTGCAAAATAACTTTAATGAACAACATTATCAGTTAATATTTTGAAGATAAGTCGTTTTAATGTTGTTTTCTTTTTCGTATGATTTTTATGTACATATTCACTCCGTGCAGTTATTAATCATGACATGTGAATGATTTTTGAAATACATTTCTGATACATATGTCGCCGATTTGTAGCTGAAATATTGCCGATTCGGCGTAAAACATTCAATCAATCAATCTGGTACATATGCGATGTATAAAATGATTAAAAGGTCCTCACTGAGTTTTTAATTAAATATTCCTGTTTGTGAATTTAGAAAACTTCACAAAAATGAACCTGTTCGTATTGATCCCAGATTGTTCATGTGACTCGCGAGCCGGTGAATTACGAGGTCAACCGATCAATCTGGTATATTCCCTAGTCCATTGATTTTCAGAGCATAATATTATAGCCCCCTCCCGTTATTGGAGAGGTTCATGTAGTCGAACAAACTATTTAATTTCACTTTCAGCATTTCTTAATTTTGTTTATACGCTTTTACAGTTGAGTACCAGTTCGAAGGTTTGATAGGCCAATGACTCACATAGAAAGGGAAATTATGAAAGCAACCCTTTTTACGGGGAAAATAAATCATGAATGAATGTCAAAATATTTTCAAGTAACAACCCCCCCCCCCTCCTCTATTAAACAAGAGGCCCAGGGGCCACATCGCTCACCTGAGCAATTGGCTAGGAAAAAGCACACATCAGACAAGAACTGAAAGTTTACTGAGGGGGGGGGGCTTGAATTTTAACCCCTAGGGGGTCATGATTGAACAAACTTGAATCTTCACTACCTGAGGATGATTCCCTATAAATATCACTAAGCATGGCTTTAAAGTACTTGAAAAAATTTTTTTTATAAGTTTTCCCTAGGTATTCCTATGTAAAAATTTGATCAACCATTTTGGCCCCACCCTGCCCCCAGGGGTCATGATTTGAACAAAATTGAATCTACACATCCTGAGGATGATTCCATATGAGTTTCATCTTTCCTGGTCCAGTGGTTCTTGAGAAGATTTTTAAAGATTTTTCCTATATATTCCTATGTAAAACTATGATCGGCCATTTTGCCCCACCCTACCCCCAGGGGTCATGATTTGAACAAACTTGAATCTACACTTCCTGAGGATGATTTCATATGAATTTCATCTTTCCTGGCCCAGTGGTTCTTGAGAAGAAGATTTTAAAAGATTTTTCCTATATATTCCTATGTAAAACTATGATCGGCCATTTTGGCCCCACCCTACCCCCAGGGGTCATAATTTGAACAAACTTGAATCTACACTTCCTGAGGATGATTTCATATGAGTTTCATCTTTCCTGGCCCAGTGGTTCTTGAGAAGAAGATTTTTAAAGATTTTTCCTATATATTCCTATGTAAAACTTTGATCGGCCATTTTGGCCCCACCCTACCCCCAGGGGTCATGATTTGAACAAACTTGAATCTACACTACCTGAGGATGATTCCATATGAGTTTCATCTTTCCTGGCCCAGTGGTTCTTGAGAAGACGATTTTTAAAGATTTTTTCCTATATATTCCTATGTAAAACTTTGATTGGCCATTTTGGCCCCACCCTACCCCCAGGGGTCATAATTTGAACAAACTTGAATCTACACTTCCTGAGGATGATTTCATATGAGTTTCATCTTTCCTGGCCCAGTGGTTCTTGAGAAGAAGATTTTTAAAGATTTTTCCTATATATTCCTATGTAAAACTTTGATCGGCCATTTTGGCCCCACCCTACCCCGAGGGGTCATAATTTGAACAAACTTGAATCTACACTACCTGAGGATGATTCCATATGAGTTTCATCTTTCCTGGCCCAGTGGTTCTTGAGAAGACGATTTTTAAAGATTTTTTCCTATATATTCCTATGTAGAACTTTGATTGGCCATTTTGGCCCCACCCTACCCCCAGGGGTCATAATTTGAACAAACTTGAATCTACACTTCCTGAGGATGATTTCATATGAGTTTCATCTTTCCTGGCCCAGTGGTTCTTGAGAAGAAGATTTTAAAAGATTTTTCCTATATATTCCTATGTAAAACTTTGATCGGCCATTTTGGCCCCACCCTACCCCGAGGGGTCATAATTTGAACAAACTTGAATCTACACTACCTGAGGATGATTCCATATGAGTTTCATCTTTCCTGGCCCAGTGGTTCTTGAGAAGAAGATTTTTAAAGATTTTTTCCTATATATTCCTTTGTAAAACTATGATCGGCCATTTTGGCCTC